GGCGAAAGAAAAAGATGCATGCAAAAGTCATGACAGGCACGAGGTATCAATACCGTTATATATAACAACAACATATAGGTAGGAATACTACACTTGCATCATACATGACCTTTGAAAACAATTATTTACGTATAGTATTGCTGTCTTGTCCGCTAGTTGAGTCCGACATGGCACATGGCGGCGTGCTATTGTTGTTATCTTCACTGCCTCACTTTCGAAACAACCACGTGACATATATAAATAGATCTGTGCTAAATTTACGCGGGGCTTCCCCCAGATTTCAGTGGTCAAAACTGGACATTGCAAGCAGAACTCGACCATCATATTGACGTGGTATAACTTTTGGAAGACCAGAGAACGCATTAAGACCTATTTATTTTGTATTTTTTTCCCCGACCAGGCCCTTTAAAGAATCCTCAGAACCAGAAAAGAAATGTTAAACTGTATAAAGGAAGGTGTTGTCTCCTTTGGTATGGTGTCATGGATCTAAAGTTAGGAAATTATTATGACTATTAGTGAAATTATTTCTGTAATTGCTAAAAAATACAAATGAGTTCCCTCTGGGCCTCTCGTTGGTATGTTCGTTTCAATTATAAATGTTTTATATCAAATCAATTTTACAATTTTAACAAACAATCCTGGATGTTTATTTTCAGGAGAAGGACCAAGTCCAAAGAAGAAAAAGAAGGCTGATAAACCTGTGGTACCAGATCTAGAGGGAAAAGATGAAAATGAAAACAAGCCTCAAGAGAAAGTCTCTGTTACAGGTATAATTAATTGCTGAATTTAAAAAAAAATCTGTTTTGGTTTATTGTCTGAATGCAATGTTTCAAAACATCGAGTTTCTCTGTACCGTGTGTCAAAGCAATTTCAGGTTACTTTCTGACTGTGTCAAGCATGCTTATGAAGCTTGAAATGGAATAATATAACTAGTACTATAATACCATAAGTCACGATCAACACTGTCAGTGTTGTAATCACCCGCTCACCAAAGCAGTATAAAATGTACCAAAATTACAGTGTAATAATAAATATGTTTCATTGATAACATAAATGTTGTTTACCTTGTTGTTTTGTATTGAATTATAACATGATAATAATGGGCTAATTAAAACAGATTTAACAGACTTACTGAGTAATTCTTGACTGTGAAAATGTTCTATAAATAGCATTGAAATGGGATAACTTTTATTCTGAGTTTTTGTATTGGTACATTAACTATACATTTTAGCTGAAATGATATCAATGATACATCTGATGACCAAACTGATCCCTCTTTACTTATTAACATGATGATGGTTTGTGTATTATATGACAGATATGGCTGCGTGGAAGAATATGCATGTACCAGCTCCAGTGCTGCTTGCACTAAAACAGGATGGATTTGCTGTACCCACCCCTATACAGACCCTCGCCATACCACACGCTATTAGAGACCGACTGGACATAGTTGGAGCTGCTGAAACTGTAAGTATGTAGACATGGTACATAATAATGTGTAACTGCTGAAACTGTAAGTGTGTAGACATGGTACATAATGATGTGTAACTGCTGAAACTGTAAGTGTGAAGACATGGTACATAACAATGTGTAACTGCTGGAACTGTAAGTGTGTAGACATGGTACATTATAATGCGTAACTGCTGAAACTGTAAGGGTGTAGACATGGTACATAACAATGTGTAACTGCTGGAACTGTAAGTGGGTAGACATGGTACATAATAATGCGTAACTGCTGAAACTGTAAGTTTCTAGACATGGTACATACTAATGTGCAACTGCTGGAACTGTAAGTGTGTAAACATGGTACATAATAATGTGGAACTGCTGAAACTGGAAGTGCGTAGACATGGTACATACTAATGTGTTGAAGACATGGTACATAACAACGTGTAACTGCTGGAACTGTAAGTTTGTAGACATGGTACATTCTAATGTGTAACTGCTGAAACTAAGTGTGTAGACATGGTACATAATAATGTGTAACTGCTGAAACTGGAAGTGTGTAGACCTGGTACATACTAATGTGTAACTGCTGAAACTGTAAGTGTGTAGACATTTTACATACTAATGTGTAACTGCTGAAACTGTAAGCGTGTAGACATGGTACATAATAATGTGTTAGACATGGTACATAATAATGTGTTAGACATGGTACATAATAATGTGTTAGACATGGTACATAATAATGTGTAACTGCTGGAACTGTGAGTGTGTAGACATGGTACATACTAATGTTTAACTGCTGGAACTGTAAGTTTGTAGACATGGTACATACTAATGTGCAACTGCTGAAACTGTAAGTGTGGAGACATGGTACATACTAATGTGTAACTGCAGAAACTGTAAGTGTGTAGACATGTTACATACTAATGTGTAACTGCTGAAACTAAGTGTGTAGACATGGTACATACTAATGGGTAACTGCTGGAACTGTAAGTTTGTAGACATGGTACATACTAATGTTTAACTGCTGGAACTGTAAGTGTGTAGACATCGTACATACTAATGTGTAACTGCTTAAACTGTAAGTGTGTACACATGGTACATACTAATGTGTAACTGCTGGAACTGTAAGCGTGTAGACATGGTACATAATAATGTGTAACTGCTGAAACTGGAAGTGCGTAGACATGGTACATACTAATGTGAAACTGCTTGAACTGTAAGTTTGTAGACATGGTACATACTAATGGGTAACTGCTGGAACTGTAAGTGTGTAGCTGGAGAACATCTACATATATGTAACATGTCTACACACTTACAGTTTGAGCAGTTACACATTAGTATGTACCAGGTCTACACACTTACAGTTTCAGCAGGTACACATTAGTATGTACCAGGTCTACACACTTACAGTTTCAGCAGGTACACATTAGTATGTACCAGGTCTACACACTTACAGTTTCAGCAGTTGCACATTAGTATGTACCATGTCTACTCACTTACAGTTTCAGCAGTTACACATCATTATGTACCATGTCTACACACTTATAGTGATATGTACTCCTCCGGTACTGATCTGTACTCCTCCGTTACTTATCTGTACTCCTCCGTTCCTTATCTGTTCTCCTCTGGTACTGATCTTTACTCCTCTAGTACTAATCTGTACTCCTCTGGTACTGATCTTTACTCCTCTAGTACTAATCTGTACTCCTCCGGTACTAATCTGTACCCGGAGGAGTACAGATCAGTACCAGAGGGTAGACATGGTACATAATAATGTTTAACTGCTGGAACTGTAAGTGTGGAGCTGGAGAACATCTACATATATGTAACATGACTACACACTTACAGTTTCAGCAGTCTAGTACTGATCTTTACTCCTCTGGTACTGATCTGTACTGCTCCGGGTACAGATTAGTACCGGAGGAGTACAGATAAGTACTAGAGGAGTACAGATCAGTACTAGAGGAGTGTAAGTGTGTAGACATGGTACATTATAATGTGTAACTGCTGAAACTGTAAGGGTGTAGACATGTTACATAATAATGTGTAACTGCTGGAACTGTAAGTGTTTAGATATGGTACATACTAATGTGTAACTGGTGAATCTAAGTGTGTAGACATGGTACATACTAATGGGTAACTGCTGGAACTGTAAGTTTGTAGACATGGTACATACTAATGTGTAACTGCTGAAACTGTAAGTGTGTAGACATGTTACATATATGTAGATGTTCTCCAGCTACATAAGTATGCGTTCACATGGAAGATGGTGCAAAACAATTAAAGTGTTACTTTGCCCACATTGTTTATTAATCACATAAATATAATCCGACTGTAAAGGAAGATGACCTGATGAATCTACCACTTAGTTCACGCTGACTGTCAATTCCTGTCATAACTTTTATTTTCCCTGAAACATTTTAGTTTTCGCCAAGTAAATATTACATGGTTATATATGTAACATTGAAGTGAACAAATCAAAATTAAAAACTACAATTAACCATCCACTATTAACCATCCACTATCAATAAATTACCTATTTCCCCTGGTAATGTTAAGATGTACAATGTTAAACAAAATTGTATGTAAATGAAAAATGAAAGATATATACAAATTTACATGTACCATTCAATTACAGTTCATCACAGTACTGGTGATAGAAGTACAAAGCTGGGTCTTCTGACAAGGCATTTTCTCATGAACATTGAAATAAATAATAAATGAATACAACATAAATTTCATGCTTTTTCTGGACTACCTTATTAATCTATAATGGGATTCTTTCTGAACTTTCATGTCCACAGGTCTTTGGGGTTTGTTGTTGTGAAGAATAAATATAAACGAACATTAAGTTTTATATCTGATTTGTTTTATTCTAGGGAAGTGGCAAGACTCTAGCGTTTGGTATCCCATTGATAGACAAGATCTTAAGAGTGAAACAGGAACAGGAAAACAGGAAGAAAAAGGGTGTCGAGGAAGAAGAGTGTGGCAGCGGCTCGGACATAGAACCGCAGGATGAAATGAATGATGAAATGAATGATGAAATAGACAATGAAGATGACAATGAATCGGATAACGAAATGGTAGATTCTGGTGAAGAAAGTGAAGAGGAATTGCTGTTTGAGACATCTGATGAAGATGACGAGGAGGAAGAAGTGGAACAGGATGACACAGAGGAGGTTGATATAAGTGAGGACGAAAATGATGAAGAGGAATTAGGGAGTGAGGAAGAGGAGGAATTGGTTGAAGTAAGTTATGATCTACAAGCTGTGTTCTTAATCATTTCCATGAATTCTTTAGGTACAATACGTACTTGAGAATGAGATGATGCAGATATCAGTACCAGAGGAGTACAGATCAGGACCAGAGGAGTACAGATCAGTACCGGAGGAGTACATATCAGGACCAGAGGAGTACAGATCAGTACTAGAGGAGTACAGATTAGTACCGGAGGAGTACAGATTAGTACTAGAGGAGTACAGATAAGTACCAGAGGAGTACAGATTAGTACCAGAGGAGTACAGATCAGTACCAGAGGAGTACAGATCAGTACTAGAGGAGTAAAGATTAGTACTAGAGGAGTACAGATCAGTACCAGAGGAGTACAGATTAGTACCGGAGGAGTACAGATCAGTACCAGAGGAGTAAAGATCAGTACCAGAGGAGTACAGATCAGTACCAGAGGAGTACAGATCAGTACTAGAGGAGTACAGATCAGTACCAGAGGAGTACAGATTAGTACCGGAGGAGTACAGATCAGTACTAGAGGAGTACAGATTAGTACCGGAGGAGTAAAGATCAGTACTAGAGGAGTAAAGATTAGTACCGGAGGAGTACAGATCAGTACCAGAGGAGTACAGATCAGTACTAGAGGAGTAAAGATCAGTACCAGAGGAGTACAGATAAGGAACGGAGGAGTACAGATAAGTAACGGAGGAGTACAGATCAGGACTAGAGGAGTACAGATAAGTAACGGAGGAGTACAGATAAGTACCAGAGGAGTACAGATAAGTAACGGAGGAGTACAGATCAGTACAAGAGGAGTACAGATTAGTACCAGAGGAGTACAGATCAGTACCAGAGGAGTACATATCAGTACCAGAGGAGTACAGATCAGTACCAGAGGAGTACAGATTAGTACTAGATGAGTAAAGATCAGTACCAAGTACAGATCAGGACCAGAGGAGTACAGATCAGTACCAGAGGAGTAAAGATCAGTACCGGAGGAGTAAAGATCAGTACCGGAGGAGTACAGATCAGTACCAGAGGAGTACAGATAAGTACCAGAGGAGTACAGATAAGTAACGGAGGAGTGCAGATCAGTACAAGAGGAGTACAGATTAGTACCAGAGGAGTACAGATAAGTACCAGAGGAGTAAAGATCAGTACCAGAGGAGTACAGATTAGTACCAGAGGAGTACAGATAAGTACCAGAGGAGTAAAGATCAGTACCAGAGGAGTACAGATCAGTACCAGAGGAGTACAGATAAGTACCAGAGGAGTAAAGATCAGTACCAGAGGAGTACAGATAAGGAACGGAGGAGTACAGATAAGTAACGGAGGAGTACAGATAAGTACCAGAGGAGGACAGATAAGTAACGGAGGAGTACAGATCAGTACAAGAGGAGTACAGATTAGTACCAGAGGAGTACAGATTAGTACCAGAGGAGTACAGATAAGTACCAGAGGAGTACAGATACGTAACGGAGGAGTACAGATCAGTACAAGAGGAGTACAGATCAGTACTAGAGGAGTAAAGAACAGTACTAGAGGAGTAAAGATTAGTACCAGAGGAGTACAGATCAGTACTAGAGTACAGATAAGTAACGGAGGAGTACAGATCAGTAAAAGAGGAGTACAGATTAGTACCAGAGGAGTACAGATAAGTACCAGAGGAGTAAAGATCAGTACCAGAGGAGTACAGATAAGGAACGGAGGAGTACAGATAAGTAACGGAGGAGTACAGATCAGTACTAGAGGAGGACAGATAAGTAACGGAGGAGTACAGATAAGTACCGGAGGAGTACAGATAAGTACCAGAGGAGGACAGATAAGTAACGGAGGAGTACAGATCAGTACTAGAGGAGTACAGATTAGTACTAGAGGAGTACAGATCAGTACCAGAGGAGTACAGATAAGTACCAGAGGAGTAAAGATCAGTACCAGAGGAGTGCAGATCAGTACCAGAGGAGTACAGATCAGTACTAGAGGAGAGTACAGATCAGTACCGGAGGAGTACATATCAGTACCAGAGGAGTAAAGATCAGTACCAGAGGAGTACAGATTAGTACCAGAGGAGTACAGATAAGTACCAGAGGAGTAAAGATCAGTACCAGAGGAGTACAGATTAGTACCAGATGATTACAGATCAGTACCAGAGGAGTACAGATCAGTAACGGAGGAGTACAGATCAGTACTAGAGGAGTACAGATAAGTACCGGAGGAGTACAGATAAGTACCAGAGGAGTACAGATTAGTAGTACAGATAAGTAACGGAGGAGTACAGATAAGTACCGGAGGAGTACAGATAAGTACCAGAGGAGTACAGATTAGTAGTACAGATAAGTAACGGAGGAGTACAGATAAGTACCGGAGGAGTACAGATAAGTACCAGAGGAGGACAGATAAGTAACGGAGGAGTACAGATAAGTACCGGAGGAGTACAGATAAGTACCAGAGGAGTACAGATCAGTACCGGAGGAGTACAGATCAGTACCAGAGGAGTACAGATTAGTACCGGAGGAGTACAGATAAGTACTAGAGGAGTACAGATCAGTACTAGAGGAGTACAGATTAGTACCAGAGGAGGACAGATCAGTACCAGAGGAGTAAAGATCAGTACCAGAGGAGTAAAGATCAGTACCAGAGGAGTAAAGATCAGTACTAGAGGAGGACAGATTAGTACCGGAGGAGTACATATCAGTACCAGAGGAGTAAAGATCAGTACTAGATGAGTACAGATTAGTACCGGAGGAATACAGATAAGTACTAGAGGAGTACAAGAGGAGTACAGATCAGTACCGGAGGAGTACAGATAAGTAACGGAGGAGTACAGATCAGTACCAGAGGAGTACAGATCAGTACTAGAGGAGTACAGATAAGTACATGAGGAGTACAGATCAGTACTAGAGGAGTACAGATTAGAACCGGAGGAGTACAGATCAGTACCAGAGGAGTAAAGATCAGTACTAGAGGAGTACAGATTAGTACCGGAGGAGTACAGATCAGTACTAGAGGAGTACAGATTAGTACCGGAGGAGTACAGATCAGTACCAGAGGAGTACAGATTGATTCAAGGATACTAGATGATTATTAACAATATTTGAATTCTCAGGAGGACTATTCAGCTCAGGAAAGCAAAACATTTACTGTCAGATTAAAGGATAAGAATTAATGTTAAATTAAGTTGAAGGTTTCTTAAATTGCACTTTCTTTTAGGTAGATCCCTGAATGATTATTTAAAGTACTGGTACAATCCACAAAAGTTACGTGTATAAATAAATGGGATGCAAAAATATTCTTGTACAAGCAATAAGTTTAAATTTTCCGATTGTATTTATAAATATATTTTTTCCTAGGGTGATGGATTTGGATGTGTGAAGGTGATAGATGACGCTGACTTCTCAGATATTGATCCAAGTCTCCTGGGGCAGTTTGAGCCAGTGAAGACACCAAAGTATCCTCAGAAACCACCGATGGCCCTTATATTGGAGCCAACACGTGAACTGGCAGTACAGGTGAAGAACCACCTCCTCCGTATCATCAGGCATACTGATATCAAGGTCAGTGAGAGTCAAGTTTTGAATGATAAGGCGACAATATGCAATATGTCAAGTATTAATAATCAAAAACATTATGTGAAGTGAATGTAAAGAACGTATTTTACAGTTACTTCTAGCGATACCTACCTTGTGTTAAAGCCAAGTCTTATCTACAGTAGCAGGAAAGTTAGATAATGATTTAAGTACATGCTAGATTACAACTATACAAAGGAAACTTGTCATGGTAGTATTGCCGCCTTATCATTCAAAAAGATGTTTTAGATTTATGAATCCAAAATTTTCAAATCACAGTAATTCTGGTCTTTTTATTGTCTAAAGTCTGGCTAGAAAAATTGACAAGGTTCTTGTGTAAAACATGTTGTTAACCAGTCAACAACCCTCTTGATACAGCTTCAGAGTAAGTATGGTTTGTTGCAGGTGGTCACAGTTGTGGGTGGCCTGTCCATGGAGAAACAGCTAAGAGTCATGAAGAAGTGTCCAGAGGTGGTGGTGGCTACACCTGGGCGTCTGTGGGAGCTTGTACAACAGGTAAGATCACAGTAAAGGAGCATGCACAACAGGTAAGATCACAACAGTGGAGCATGTACAACAGGTAAGATCAGAGTAAAAGAGCATGTACAACAGGTAAGATCACAACAGTGGAGCATGTACAACAGGTAAGATCAGAGTAAAAGAGCTTGTACAACAGGTAAGATCACATTAAAGTAGCATATACAACAGGTAAGATCACAGTAAAGGAGCATGTACAACAGGTAAGATCACAGTAAAGTAGCATGTACAACAGGTAAGATCACA